TTTAAAAAAAAAAAAAAAAAAAAAAGGTATCAAACGGATTCCTAATATTTTATTGCGACCGACGGTAGATGATCAAGATCGCCCGTGCTGACTCAAACTCTTGGATTCGCCCTTGCATATGAGGTATGTCCTATATCAAATGAATCAGATTCGAGTTGTGCAGATACGTAATCTGCATATTGGTATCGAAGGAAGTCTAATCTATCTTCTTTTTCTATCCTTGGCAAGTTGATAGTCCTACAGGTCATATGCATGATCTAAAACTTTATCACCATCCAAGTTTTCATCATTAATTATGATCTAAGGCTATGTTTGAAGTGGCTCCACCTCAAACTGAGTTTGATCAGTAACATCTTGTTCATTAAAGTCAATTCAGTGATGACAAAATCCTTATCAACTGATTTCTTCTCTAATTTGGTCACTAAAACAAGGGAAAATCTCTTCATTAAATATTACAAATCTTCTTATTATCACTTTAAATTCTCTAATCTCTTTTATCCATAACATGTACCCTTTAACTCCTTCCCTATAACTAAGAAAAACACATTTTAAAAATTTGGAATCAGTTTAATGTGCATAAGATGCATAACTAAAAGTTCTAAGGTAGGAATAATCAGGTATTAATCCTGACCACATAGTCAGGGGTGACTATGGAAGCCTATGTAATGTCAAACCAAACCATCCACCTATGAAACCATCACATCAATATGTCTTGTTGACTATGACAGAATCCCAACATTTAAATCATCTCGACACATCAAAATCAATTAACCACTCAATCCTCTTTATCCTTAACAAATTTGTTAACATAATCAACTCTACGTTTGAAGTTCCCTATCCTTTCATTGGTTAGGAAGGCCAAATTCGAAGAAAAATCACAAAGAACACTTTATAGCACTCGAACCTAGAAGGGTTCACCTTCCCTTGCAGGTTCCAACACAGGCAACTCCTTGGATTCAAGCAAAGTCGGCTATTAAAACCGTGTAGATTTCATTCTATTGTTCAAATGAATAACTTCTCGTCCTTTTACTCCCCTAGTTATCATGTGTTCGAAAACTTGGAGATGGAACAACACCTTTCTGAATACAAGAAGATAATATTCAAGAGAACACCCACTTTATTTCTTATAGACTTCAGAAAACATGAATTAAATCTAATACAAGTAATAGTTATTAAATGCAAATCAATCCCAAAATAATTCATATATTTACCAGGTACATGAATAAACTAGTAGAGTAATGTATGTATGAACAATCCCAAAAGACGTGAAGGAACTTGACTAACTAAATGAAGTTTATATTTTCAAAAACCCTTAAACTTCATTCATTGTAACTCCAAAATCTTCGAAACTTCGAAATTGCACCAATCTTCAATGGCTTGGGGAAAATATCTACAATTTGATCTTGGGAATTCAGGAACTTCAATTCATACATTGTTTGTTAACACAAAAACGAACAAAATGATACTTCATGTCAATGTGCTTAATCATAAAAGATTGGATTCTTGGCCAATGATAATATCGAATTGTTATCAAAGTTCTCTTTTTTTTTAATTATTATTATTATTATTTTTTGGTAGAATCATTGTATTGCAAATTAACTTCCTTTAACAATTTTCTCAACCAAATTGCTTGACAAACAAAATATGAAACAATATAATTCGCTTTACAACTTGAAAGAGTAACAATGAGTTACTTCTCCGACAGTAATGTAAAAAGAGTATTTTCCATAAAGAACACATGATCACTTGGACTTTTTAGGTCATCATTACCTCTGTCCAATTACAATCACTATAACCAAGAAGCCAAGGGAGGCTGTATTGGGTTCCCACTGTCCTATTTTGCTTTGTAACTTTTTTCTTAAAAATTTATATTTTGGCCCAAATTTAGAATTAGCCCACTATCATTTTTCTCTAATATTTGCCCATTTCCAGCCTAATTTCTTAAATGGACCAAATTTTAGAATTAGCCCACTTCCATATCTCTTGCTCAAAATACGAGAACTTCTTTTAAAATTTAATATGGTCGGTAAAAGACAAAGAACAACCTTATTTTTTGTTGCAGTAGTCCAAAGAAATAAAACTCATTTGAGAGGATAGAATTGGATTAATAGATGTTTTTTAACTTATTCACATCAGAAAGCATATCTATGTTAGTAGGCATATGAGCAAGGAAATTATCTAATGAAACTAACCACACATATAAAATATGGTGAGAGACAAAAAATAATAATAACAAAAATAAAAATATTGAAAATCTTAAAAGTAATTAAAATTTAATTATTTGTATGTTTCATTTATTAATTATACTTATAAGTTAAAAAAATACTTATTGACCATGAAATAGATATTATTATCAAAATAGGTAACTTGCTCTATATTTAATTTATCTTTAGAAAAAATATTTCTTAAAATTTTATTTATTTATAAATTAACATTATTAAAATTATGTTATTGAAGTGAGTCAATTATGAAAGTGAAATAAATCCAATTTCTTTGAACTCTCGATATTCTTGGTCAATTTTTCCTACTTTGAGTGAAATTAAAATGTGTTGATATAGATTTCTAATGCCCATATTAGATAATTTTTTCATAACGGTGTATTTTGACTAAAAACCTTTAATAACTGGAATGAATTGTTGTTCTTTTTAGGCCTTAAGTCTCATAATAGTGAAAATTGGTTTTTCTTAATTTTTTGTTGGTGGGTATACATTATTTGTTCGTCACTATCATGCTTTTGCACATTTTATAATTTTTGGGGAGGTGTCAAGATTTTTTATTTGGCAAGAAAAGCTACGAAGATTTAGTAAGTCATCATAAGGATTGATATGTTTATACTCATTTGAGTATCTAACTCAATTTGTCATCAGTATCGTAAGTTTAGCTTTTTGAATGATATTTGGTGTGGCATGGAGCATCTCTCATAGCATGAGTTCCATGATTTCTTCATTTTTATTTTAAATTTCAGTCCAACCCAGCATCTTTTCTTGGCTTCACCCCTGCAACAAGCTTGAAATCATCGGTATATGACTAAAATAAATTATAGCAAATAGTACTTTTGATGTATTGAAAATTTCTTTTCAGAGCCTTCAAATGTGTAGTTGTAGGAGGCAGCTTCATGTATTGACTACCAAGACCAACTTTAAGTAAAATATCAGACATTCATACATGTTATGTACCTCAAACTTTCAATAATCCTCTTATAAAGAGTTGAATCAACTTTCTTTCCTTCATCGAATTTCGACAATTTTATTCCACAACTCACCAGACTGCAAATTGGCATAAAACAATCTATCTTGCTCATCTCAAGAATTTTCTTAGTATAAGCTTCTAGAGAGAAAAATTCCTGTCAAAGTTATTGGTATTTTGTTTATTAATCATTTTTTTATATTTTGTTTTGCATACCCTATTGTTAAGGGATTGCTATTTTGATCTTTCCTAGTTATTGACCACGTATTTAGGTTTGTTAAACGTGGGTTGCATTTCTCTGCCTTCAGTTATTTTGTAAGGCTATTTATAAGCCAGTTTGTTCATTCAATAAAACAGATTGTTCTCCCAAATCTCTTATTTTCTGCACAAAGTTCTTTTATCATTTGGTATCATAGCCAAGTTAACTACGGCTGAACAAAACTTGAGAAGCAACAGTCTTCTAAGTGCGTAATAGTAAGAAAGTGGCAGCTGAAAGTAGATTTATCCAACCAGTAATTCCAAAGTTCGATGGACACTATGATCACTGGTGTATAGTAATGGAGAATTTCCTTCGTTCTAAGGAATATTGGACCTTGATAGAACATGGGATTCCTACAGGTGGAGAAGCACATCCCACTGAAGAACAAAGGAAGGTAATTGAAGATGCCAAACTGGAAGATTTGAAGGCTAAGAATTATTTATTCCAAGTCATTGATAGATTAGTTCTGGAAACAATTTTGAACAAGGATACATCAAAGAGCATTTGGGACTCTTTGAAGCAGAAGTATCAGGGGACAGCAAGAGTCCAGCGTGCACAACTACAAGCTCTTCGAAAGGAATTTAAGGTGCTCACCATGAAAGTAGGAGAATCTATGAATGAATACTTTGCTAGAACTCTTACTATAGCAAACAAGATGAGGAACCATGGAGAGAAGACGACTAATGTTGTGGTCATTGAAAAGATGCTAAGATTTATGTCTACAAAATTTGAATATGTTGTATGTTCTATTGAGGAGTCTAATGATCTGGACAACTTATCCATTGATGAACTACAGAGCAGTCTTCTTGTACATGAACAACGTATGAATAGCCATGCTATGAAAGAACAGGCTCTAAAGGTTACTTATGCAGATCAATCAAGAGGAAGAGGACGAGGTCGTGGTGGAATCAGAGGACGAGGATGAAGATGAGGTAGGGGTAGACAAATCTTTAATAAGTCTACAATTGACTGTTATGATTGCCATAGGCTTGGACATTTTCAGTATGAATGTCCAAGGAGACAGAGAATGCACATTATGTTGATGTCAGTGAAGAAATATTGCTAATGGCCTATGAGGATATCAAGAAAGCTAGCAAAAAGGATTTATAGTTTCTTGACTCAGGATGTAACAACAATATGTATGGCAAGAAGGAATTTTTCAACAAGCTAGATGACAATTTCAACACTTCTGTGAAGTTAGGAGACAACTCAAGTATGACTGTGATAAGAAAAGGCAATATACAGACGTTGGTTAACGAAATTAAGCAAACCATCACTGAGGTTATTATGTCCCTAGATTGAAGAATAATATGCTCGGTGTTGGATAGCTACAAGAAAAGGGACTTACAATTCTCAACAACATGGGAAGTGTAAGATTTATCATCCTAAGAGAGGTTTAATTATGAAAACTGCAATGTCATCAAACAGAATGTTTGTCTTGCTTTCTACAATACAACCAAAGGAAGAAGAGACATGTTTGAGTTCTTCTACAGAAGATCAAGCTCGACTTTGGCATTGTAGATATGGACATTTAAGCTTCACTGGCATAAAAATTCTACAACAAAAAAAAGATGGTGAATGGACTTCCCCCAATTTACAGGTCCTTCAAATGTGTGTGAAGATTGCCAAAAAGGAAAACAACCAAAAAATTCATTTCCAAAGAAGAGCACATGGTGGGCTTTTCAAATCCTACAATTGGTCCATGCTGATATATGTGGACCAATTAACCCTGCCTCAAATAGCAACAAAAGGTACCTAATTACTTTTATTGATGATTTTAGTCGCAAAACTTGGGTTTATTTCTTAGTAGAGAAGTCAGAAGCCTTTGCCATTTTCAAGAACTATAAAAGTCTTATCGACAAAGAAACTGGTTCCCATTTAAGATGTCTTCTCACTGATCAAGGAGGAAAATTCACATCATATGAATTCACGGACTTTTGTAAAGAAAATGATATTCACGGACAAATGACAACTGCATATACTCTTTAACAGAACGGGGTTGCAAAGAGAAAAAAATCTGACCACTATGAATATGGTTCGAAGCATACTTTCCGAAAAGAAAATTCCTAAAACTTTTTGGCCTGAAGCAGTCAATTGGACTGTCTGTGTTCTACATAGAAGTCCAAATCTTGCAATGGAAAATCGAACTCCAAAAGAAGCTTGAAGTAGATCCAAACCATCAATTGACCATTTCAGGGTGTTTGGCTGCATTTCACATGTTCATATTCCTAATGCTAAGAGGACTAAATTTGATAATAAGAGCATTAGATGTATTTTACTTGGAGTTAGTGAGAAGGCGAAGGCATAAAGATTGTATGATCCAATTACACAGAATATAATAATAATAAGTAGAGATGTGATATTTGAAGAAGAAAATTAGGGGAATGGGATAAGAGTCGTGAAGGAGATATTATATCTGATCTTGACTAGGGAAAAATTGATGAAGAAGCAACCACATATGACAATAATGGAGAACATGCCGGAAGAAAAATTGAAATTGATCATCATGATAACACAACAAAAGTGTCAAGGGTGATTTGGATGAGTCAATTGAGGATCCACATAATTCCAGTGAGGAAAGAGTTAGAAGGGCACCTGTGTGGATGAGAGACTATGACAATGGAGAAGGTTTTTTTGAGGAAGAAGACAGTGCATAACTAGCTATGTTTGCAGACAATGATCTTATCTTATTTAAGGAGGCTGTGAAGAGTCTAAAATAGAGAAAAGCAATGGATTTTGAGATGGAAGCTATAGAGATTAACGATACACGAGAATTGACAGAGCTACCTGCTGAAGGAAAGAAGGTTGGTGTAAAATGGGTTTACATCTAAGCTTAATGAGAATGGAGAGGTGGATAAACACAAGGCTCAATTGGAAGCAAAGGGATATGCTCAAGAACATGGGGTCGATTATACTGAGATTTTTGCACCTGTATCTCGATTGGATACAATCAGGCTGATTATTTCTCTTGCAGCTCTAAAACAGTGGACAATATATCAGTTAAATGTAAAATCAGCCTTCTTACATGGTAAACTAAGCAAAGAAATTTTTGTGGAACAACCTCTTGGATATAAACAGAAAGGGAATGAACAGAAGGTGTACAAATTGAAGAAGGCTCTATATGGACTTAAACAAGCCCCCCAAGCTTGGTATAGTCATATAGGGTCCTACTTTGTGAAAGAAGGTTTTGAAAAATGCAAACATGAACATACTTTATTCATCAAAACTGAAAAAGGAGGTAAGATCTTGATTGTCTGCCTTTATGTTGATGATCTTATATTCATTGGAAATGATGAGTTTATGTTTGCTGAATTTAAGAAGTCCATGATGCTTGAGTTTGATATGACTGATCTTGGAAAAATGAGATATTTCTTGGCATTGAAATGATACAATGATTAGATGGCATATTTATTAGTCAAAACAAATATGCACGGGAGGTTTTGGAGAGGTTTAGTATGGATAAATGTAATCCAGGTCATAATCCTATGGTTCTTGGTTTCAAACTTATGAAAGATGCAGATGGAGTGAGGATAGATAGTACTTTCTATAAACAAATTGTGGGTAGTCTTATGTACTTAACTGTTACTCGACCTGATGTCATGTTTGCAGTGAGCCTCATCAGTAGATTTATGGATTGCCCTACAGAACTTCATTTGTGAACTGCGAAGAGACTACTACGATATTTGAAGGGAACCATTGATTTTGATATATTCTACAAAAAGGGAGGAAATGAGGAACTGTTTGCCTACACTGATAGTGATTATGCTAGGGACTTGGATTATAGAAAAAGTACTTCATGTGCTTGTCAAGCAGTATGGTTAAAAAGGATATTAGAAACTCTCAGCTATGCTCAACATGATCCCATAACAATTTTTTGTGATAACAGTTCTGCAATTACGTTGTATAAGAATCCCGTAATGCATGGTCGAAGCAAACATATTGATGTTCATTTTCATTTTCTTCGTGATCTCACAAAAGATGGGATTGTAGAGTTGGTTCATTATCATACGTGGGAACAAGTTGCAGACATAATGATTAAACCTTTGAAGCTTGATGCATTCTTGAAGATACGTGACTTATTGGGTGTTCTCTCATATGCATGTATAGCATTCAGTTTAAGGAAGGATATCAAATTTATTGGTATTTTGTTTATTAATCAGTTTTTTATATTCTATTTTTCTTTTCCTATCGTTAAGGGAAGTGCTATTTTGATCTTTTTCTAGTTATTGACCGCGTATTTAAGTTTGTTAAACGTAGGCTGCATTTCTCTACTTTCAGTTATTTTGTAAGACTATTTATAAGCCAATTTGTTCATTCAATAAAATAGATCGTTCTCCCAAATCTCCTATTTTCTGTATAAAGTTCTTTTATCAATTCCATCCTTCTTCAATTTCACTTAGATGCCAAGATTATAAGCGTTAGCCCAATGTCCGTCATCTCCAGTTCTTTCGACATAATTATCTTGAATTCATCAAACAATTTTAGATTGTTGCCTACAAAAATTAGATCAAATTCATAAAATCAGAAAAAAGAACCCATGGGAATTTCTTACCATTTGCAAGAACAATTTCTAAATCTATGAGAGATCCGTTGAGTGCTCTAAAGAAGAACACATAGTAAAGATGAAAATCAAAAATTCTGGACATGAAACACAGACTCAATGAAAACTAAGGAAAAGCAAATTGAAGCCACATATCTGTAGAGACGTCTTGCCGTGTGTGTGTGTGTGTGTGTGTGTGTGTATATAATCTAAAGTTGTATGAACTCTAGTCAAATCTAATATGGGCAAAATGGAAGAATATTAAAATTAGCAAAACATAGAGCACGAGTATAACAAACAAGAAAGAAAACATAAAAAATCAAACCTAACTATTAAAAAAATTAAAAATATGTATAAACTCTATCGAACATCTGAACAAAGACATGACACTGCAGACAATTTGCAAATTGAACACAAATAAACAAATTTCTTGATTTGTATGGTTGATGTAGAAGATGTGCTGATAATTGAAAGAAAAATGCTGTACTTTTTCACAGCCCACTCACACGAGTGGGTCTTGCAATTATTTTAATCGCGGAGCCCGTACATGTGATGTGAGAGGGCTGCTAAAGATGGTGTAAAAAATATTGTGCTCCTAGCATGCTTCTAATTGAAAAGCAAAAACATAGTAGATCAAAATAGGATGGAGAAGGTTCTGGAGATCTGACGTTTGATGGTTCAAGTCAAAGTGTAGAAATGAAGCTAAACAATGCTAAAATCCGTAAACAAATCATGCCATTTTGTTTGTCAAGGAACGCATCGTTTTGAAATAGAACAACGGAGTTTCCTGAATACATGTAAAATGACATAGTTTCAACTTCAAAAAATTTTACAAAGGACAACATGGTTCAGCGGTTTAGATATTTATGTAATTATGCATGTATTTTGAATGGATGTATATATGTTCATATGCTTATGCCAGCAACAAGTACGATATTTTTTTTTTTTTTGTTTACATGTTTACGTTTGAACGCATTATCAACTTCTTAGTTGTTTTTAAGAGAATAACTTCATCTTAAGTGGAAAGGACTCTCGAATTAAATGGAAAAATTTGAATTCAAGTCCATCCAAATTGAAAGTGACACCAAAATGCCGATTTCGATACATCATTTGTGCGAGCAAAAATCATTGAAATTATGGAATCATTTGGAATTCATTATAATTTTTATTTAAAATCAAAGTCAAATATTAATTTTAGTCACATATTCACGGTTGGTATTCACTTATTATCGATACATTCCATCTGGCACATTACTCCTCTTCATTATAATCGCATTACATTGAAATCCAAACAACTAAGAAAGAAAATAGATTGTGAGCATCTGTCATTTCCATACACACACGACGTTCAGTCGCTCCACACATTCAAGCCCCTTTTTCTTTAC